CATTACAAAACTTTGAGCTATCAAGGGAATAAGTATGCAGTAAAGATAATAGGCCACCTACTTTAGAGAGTTGCTGAAGCCGTTCCCTCTGAGGAGGTGACAGAGCTGAATGATGACAAGGCTCTGTATAAAGAGAGAGAAGAAATTTCAAGAAATGGGAGCAACAGGTGCAAAGGCCCTGACGCAGAGAGATGTTTGGCTCGATTAAGGAACCAAAAAAAGGGAGTCTGGCATGACTGGAGTATAAGGGGTGAGTAGCTTGGCATGAAGTTGGAGACTCAAGACCTTGAAGGTCACGGCAAAAATCTGGATTTCATTTAAGTACCATGGGTCCTTCTCTGCCAGACTGTGTTCTGCAACTTCAGCTTGCATTTGGCCCACTGTGACTGCCCTGGTCCCACGTCTGCCCCGTGACCTTTCTGTCTTGCTCTCGGTAGCCAACTAGCAATTGCCCCTGGCCTCTTAGTTAAAAGTGCCAGTAGAGATCCTCTGATTGGCCTGGCTTACCTTTTGGGTTTGGTCACAATCCTGGACCCCTGGCCATGGGTGGAGGAGCTGGCCTCAGGCTGGTGCCGTCCTGTGAGCTCATTGGCTGTGGCCCGGGGGACCGAGTCCTGTCTGCAGTACTGTGAGGTTCACCTTCTAGACGCTGTGGATGGAGCAGGCGATGATACAAGCCCTGGAGGAGCTAGTTCCAGAGGTAAGATTTAGGGACTAGTGTGTCCCTGGATTCCTGACTTATTAGACTTCTGAAGATACGTGTTGGATTTGGTCTAATGTATCCCTGATTAAAACTCTTAAATGGCTCTTGATGAATGCACTTAGGGCCAAAATCCAGAATCCTCAACTGACCTGTAATGCTGCATCCTCTGGACCCAGCTTTCTTTTCTTTCCTGATCTCACCTGATGCTGCTTTTCTCCCCCGTCTGTGTTCCAGGCTTACTGGCCCCCTCCCCTCGTCCATCTCTCAGGCCTCAGGGCCTTTGCACACATTGCCATTCCTGCCTCCACACTTCCTTCTCTTCACGTGGAGAACTCCAGCTTTTCTTTAAGTCTGACCTTGATATTCTTTCTCTTCCTTTATGACTCGGCAGAAGTAGAGACCCCTGTTTATGTGCCCTCCTACTTCTTGCCCTGTGTTTCTCTTGTCATGGCACAGATCACAGTTTGATGTTGATCTATGTGGTCACTTGTTTGAGGCTTGTCTCCTGCTAGGCTGAGCCTTCCATTAGGACAGTGCTCCTATCTGTTGAGATGCTGGCTGCTGCGGACCTAAAGTAGGTGCCTGATAAAAAGTGCCGGGAGGAGGGATGGATGAGTGGGTGAATGAATTCGGAGGAGTGAGAGATTGTGTGGTCTGGAAATTCCCTAAAGAATTCATGGAAAGTGCCGAGTGCGGTGGCGCAGGCCTGTCATCCCAGCGGGTCCAGAGGCTGAGCAGGAGGATGGCAGGTTCAAAGCCAGCCTCGGCACCTTAGCGAGCCCCTGAGCAACTGAGGGAGACCCTGTGTCTAAATAAAATATAAAAAGGGATGGAGATGTGGCTCAGTGGTTAAGCACCCCCTGGGTTCAATCCCTGGAGAAGAAGGAGGAGGAGGAGGAGGAGGAAGAGGAGGAGGAGGAGAAGAAGAAATAAGAATTCATGGAAAGCATGAACTTTGATCTTGGCCTTGAAGAATGGAGAGGATTAGGTGAGGGAACCCATTTCAGTCAGGGATAATGATTATTGGTAAAGGCAGAGAATTGGGAACAGTGCGATAGAGCCAGGGTGTCCAATGGAGCAGTGAACACTGGCCTGGTTAGAGCAGAAATGTGTGTGGACAAGATATGGAAGATAAGGTTGTTTAAATGCAAAGAGACGCAAGTAGAAAAGAAAAAAATCCCGAGGCGTGTCTTAAATAGTAAGTGCTAACATTTATATGGTGCTTACGATGTTCTAAGTTCTTTTCCATGTGCTGTATGTACACAAACTCTTTTAATCCTCACGACAAATCTATGGAGTGTTACTTTGGTGCCCATTTTACAGACTGGGAAGCTGAGGCTCAGGGAGAGTATCTCACCAGAGATCTCGGGGGTGATCAACACAGAGCTGGGGTTCAAATGTGGGTAGCTGCAGCCACAGAGGTTTAGACAGGGGTCGGCCCAAGCTGCCTCTGTCCTCTACCAAGGTATGACGTGCCAGCAGACGGGTTCTGGGGGCCTCACATTAAGAAAACATGCAAGAAGATTCTAGTTTTGAGCTTGCCGGAAGGATGCTGCTCATCCAGGAGCGAGTGATCTGGGAGGGGGTGCAGCCCTGGGCAGAGAAGATGGAGAACGGACGATGGAGCAGGACCTGCCTGAGGCCTGACCAGGAGAGCTCAGGGGACAGCTGTGGCCTGACTCGGAAGCCAGGCAGCCACGGGTCCGCACGGTTTGCACTCCGACTCTCCTGTCTACTTGCAAGTTTCAACACCTATCCGGGTGGTTTCAATAAAGTGAGATGAACTAAGCGACATTCATAGCCCCATGTTTGACACATAGGAAGATGGCCTCGTGTGTGGACGCTCCTCACAGGGGTTTGGAGGACAAGGCTGGGTCACGATCCTGGCTGCGGTCTGGGAGGGTGATGTTCGTCTTTACTTGATGCCAGCCAACTGGGTCCTGCTGGGTAGCCTTCAGGCACAGGTACCCCGAAGCTCCCCAGGTCAAAGGTTTGCAGGGGACAGACGGAGAGGGTGCAGGGGAGTCTTCCAGGACTCAGGGACCCGATTCCCTCTTCCAGCTGTGTGGCTCTGCAGAAAGGGCTTTCCCCTGCCCCCAGGGCTGGCTGCCCGCTAGTGAAGACTCTGGAACCTTCCTACCCCAAATCAGCTTCCCGTATGCACCGTTTTTGACAAACTCCGAGGTCCAGGGTGGCTGGAATCTGCGGCTTCACACTTATGGTGCATTTCCTATTCGCTAGAACTCGGGGGTCCCCATCTCCGGGGCTGGCAGAAGCCACTTTTCCCCGAGAGAGGGAGGAGATGCTCAGGAATCACAGGACATTGCGTGACACACTGAGGAAGAGGTCCCCTCTCCAGTTCTCCTGCTGAAGCATCTCCTTTTGGTGTCAGACCCTAGCACTGTGCTTCTGCCCTGGCCACCCCCTTAGGACAAGCAACATCTGGGAGATCACATGGTTGGTCTGTGCATTTGCTTATGGCAAATAATTCCAAATCTCCCTTTTTGAGCAGTGAAACTCTAAGATTACCCTTCAATAAATATATTTGTGAAGGGGAAGAGGGAGTCCACTTAAAAATAAAATGAGGTTAAGTCATTGTCCATGGGGAATGGAGATCTGAAAAAAATCTCGTCAAATTTGGACTCTGATGACCGAGGTCTAGAAGATGTGGCTACAGCGAGGGTTCGTTCCCCGTAGGAAGCAGAGGCTGAGGTTTAAATGCTAGCCATGCTAATTAGCACCTAAGAGGCCCTCGTTGAGCCTCCATTTCTTCACCTGTCAAAATGGAGACAGTATTTCCGACCGCATGTGGTTGTTTTGAGGATTAAATGAGATAATTTGATGTCGATGTCATTTGCATGTCATGACTCTTCGGTGTCAAGGGAAATTTTTTTTTTCCAGTGTGCATTTCATAATAAAAGCCACTTTATACTAAAAATCACGGTGTGAGGGTGCATATGAGTTTCTCAGCCCATAATAATAATAAAAATCTGGACATGTGGTCAAATCTGGACATGCTCCATGTCTTTCTTCCTCCAGTTTCTTAATTGGTCAATGAGAATATTACTAACACTGTCCCCATGGGGATACTGGGGGATCAATTGATTTGACACATGTGGGGCACTAGACGGCTATACCAGGGAACTGTCATCTCCTAGGTCGGTGGACCCTGCCTCCTGCTGCAGTTGGAGTCCTACACGGGAAAGATCTTTGAACGGCAGCGTGCTGGGTGTGTGCCTAAAGTGCTCTAGGAAGTCATTGCTGGCGGAGGGGACATATTCTCATACTGTCTAATATCAAAAATTCAAAATATTCAGCTCTCCTTCCCCTCTCTCTCCCCAGAGACTTCAGAACCTGCAAGAAGTGGTCTCCTTCCTTCCCGTCATGTAGAATAATTTCCATTTGGTTTTTATTGTCCGGTAGCCATGCTTGGCTGTGGCCTGAAGCAGGTCTCTGTCTCCCTGTACCCTCAAATTCCTAGGCTGAAGCCTCAACCTCCAGTATGATGATATTGGAAGGGGATGTGCTTTGGGAGTTCATGAGGGTCAGATGAGGTCACTGAGGGTGGGCGCCCCCATGATGGCATTTGTGGCTTTTTAAGAAGAAGAGAGAACATTCTCTTCTCACTTCGTGAGGCCACAGCAGGAAGGCAGATGTCCACAAGCCAGCAGAAAGCCCCTACCTGGAACAAGATCTGCTGGATCCTTGACCTTGAACTTCCAGCTTCCACAAGTGTGAAAAAAGCAATGTTTATTGTTTAAGCACTGAGTCTACACTATTGTGTTACAGCAGTAGGAACTGACTAACAATACAATGCTTAGCCTGAATTAAAATCCATCTAAACATTTAAAAACACTCATTGGTTATCTATAACGTGCTCATCGTTTTATCTGTAGCATTTTATTTAAGCCTCAAAACTTTGTGGAGGAGAGAAAGATTATCACATCCCATTTTTACAGATGAAGTCTGAGACTTGAGCTCAGGTGACTTGCCCGAGGTCCTAGAGCTACTGGGTGCCACAGTTAGACCTCAAATGCCACCGTTCCCACTACCCCGGAGGACACACTGACTCCAACATCTACGGGGAACACCTTGCTGGCCTCATGGGAGGCAGAGAGGATCCTTCCTACAGAGGCTGGAGTGTGACTGAATGAAATTCAGCTTCCAAGAGGGAGATGAACCCGGGGGTGGGGGGGGGGGTGGCAGGTGAGTGAGCTCATGTGGGAAGCACCCAGGGGAAAAAAAATCAAAATAAAAAGGAAAAAAACAAAAACAAAAAACCACCCCAGCTCGTTGATTACGACAAGGCAAAACCTTTAATAACATGAGTGCTTATTACATTAGCTGCTTCGGGACTCTGACATCTTTGATTTCCGGTCATGTTATTATTATTATTTGTTTTCTAACACGTAAAGGTGAATGCCTCCCTCAGGGCCACCTGGGCGGTGGTGGGTTTCCTGAGGATCTGTGTTGGGTGGACAAATGGGGACAGCTACGCCGGCACCTGATGGGGGATTTGCAGATCCCCCCCCCCCCCCACCTCTGGCCACCACCCTGTGACTTTTGATAAAGTCCTCTCCCAAGGAGGGAAGAACAGTGGAGGAAGGAAGGACAGAAGGACATGTGGGCACAGATACACAGAGGGGAGGGAGGGACGACAGGAAGGGATCCGGTTGGGGAGGTTGGGAATGGAAAGGTGGGGGTCCTGTGGGGATGGGGTGGGGGGACCCCCGTGGGACAGGGCGGAGTCCATTTGGTCTTCATTTCTTTGTGAGAAGTAAGAACCATCACGAGGACCATGCCATGCAACCTTGGAGACGTCTGTGGACACTGCGCCCCCCGCAGGCGGTGCTGGGCGCGGCCAGCGGTCAGGGCCAGCCGCGTCCGCTCACACGGGCGTGGTGCGCCTGTTGGCCGGGTTGTTGTGCAGCGACTCTTTGAACTCTTTGGGCGTGGAATTGTGGAACTGTAGAAAAGCGTGGTCCCGGTCCGAGTTGAGGAGGGTCCCCATGGTGATCTTGGAGGGGTCCCGGGACAGGGTGAACATGGAGATGTCGGTGGAGGGGATGGTGTGGAAGCCTTTGCTGATGGGGGACAGGTCTCGGGACCGCGGCTCGGTGGAGCGGGAGCTGGACCTCCTCCGGAACCTGTACCTGTAGGGCGGGAGGCGGGCGAAGGTGGACTTCTTGAGGAGCTCCGAGTGCGATTTGGCGCGCAGCTGCTGGTGTTTCTCGATGTAGATGTGCACGGCCACCACGCCCACGATCTCGGCGATGATGAAGGAGAAGGCGCCGAAGTAAAAGGACCAGCCGTACGAGTAGCTTTTCTTGGAGTCACGCTGCCCGGGGTCTCCGGCGTTGGCTGATATATAAACGATGATGCCAATGATGTTGCTTAAGCCTGAGAAAAAATGGAAAAGAAAAGAAAAAAAAAGACACACACACATGTGTTGGAGAAAACCTCCAAGGTCAAGGTCACTTTGGGTCTTGAAATATGGATAGAAAATGCAGAATTAAGGTGGGGAGGAGAAGAGACATGGATGATGGCTAAGAAATCCTCGGGCTGAGCTCCTCTTGCAAGGTCTGTGTCTTGGGAAGTGGGGAATTTCTGCAGCTCCCGTCCTGGGCTGTGCCCCTTCAGGTCAAGATGCCCTCCTACTTCTCTAGCAAGGGTGGTAGCACTCAGGGGGGCCTCGGTGTCCCCTTAGAAACAAGGCAACACTGAATCTTTGGCTTTAAGTCATGAGAGTGATAAAGCGAACCAGCGACTGTCCCCTGCCCTTGAATTTCTCACCGTTGGGCGATTGGATAAATGCCATCGGAGCCAAATACAGTAGAAACTTTACTGGGGGTACTTAGGAAATGATTCAGAGGCAAAGGGGGAGAGAGAAAGGCTGAGAATTTTGCTTTGAAGATGAGGCCCCATGGGAGCCAGATCCTGCAGCTGAGAAAGAAGGCGGGGGACCGTGGAGCACCAGAGAGGGACCAAGAATAACCGGCTAGTCAGCTTGGGTGACTGGGAGGCTGGTGGCATCTCAAACTAAAATAAGAGGCAGCCAACAGACCATGTTTAGAGAACAGAGATTTGGATACACCAAGTTGAACGTGTTGGGGGAGACATCCACCACTAGATGTCTACGGATCTGGGGCTGCAATTTGGGGGAACTAATAAGCTCAGGGGGCAAGGACAGTCGTTGACCATCTTTCTGTCTGTGTGGAATAGGATAACCAGTCTTGGGTTGGCTGATGTTTGAGTGTCAAAAATTGGGGGACACAAAGCTGTTTTCCCCCAAAGGCGAGGTCTGCAGACTTAGTTCCCCCCACCAAGTGCCAACAGAATAGCATTGGGAAGCTCCGTTCAGCCTATCGGAGAGAAATAAATTCCCTAGAGAATGACAAAAAGGTACAGGAATCTCTAAGGGCTGTGTTCATCTCGGGTACCTTCCCACATTATTACCCCAGATGGGAAATGTCTCTTTTGGACCCTCTACTCATGGGGTCTCACTCAGAGTTGGTGCCAACAGTGACCCCGAGGAGGTTGACATACTACCCGGCAATTAGTGCGAAATGGAATCTGTCCTTCATGACCATTCCCAGTACCAGTTGGTAAGTGATCATTTCCAGAAGATTCCTGAGTCCTCCTGACACTCTTTGAACACTCCGTATTCTTTCTGGGTCTCCCCTAGATCTCCCCCAAATCAAGCAACTAAGGGCTAAAGCTTGGCATGTCAGGGTCACAGCATCTGCTCAAGTGCTACCATGTGATTGGCAGGAGCACCTGGGTGACGGTTATTATTAATATTTGGGGTGGGACTTCTGCTTATGCTCCATCTAGGACCTGCCCTCAGGGACAGGGCTGGGGTCTGCTCCTGCTGTGGGTCCTCTTGGCATGACCGGGTCCAGGCATTCATCAGGGACTCGGCAAATGCTAATCACCTTGCTATTTGTCACTCTGAGGGTTGGCACATCCTGCTCGGTGTCAGGCCGCAAGGGACCCGACAGGATAAAAAACAGTCCCCTCTTCCTGGAGTGTCAATTTGGCTGGAAGATTAGTAAGGAAGGCACATTCTTTTATATTAAAATGAACACGGATATAATAAGGAGGAGAAAGCAGAATTCACATGAATTTTTAAGTAAAATGAGATGCTGACTTCAAAGGCATTTCCGCTCCCTGAAGGCGGCTTCTAGAGATGCCCCCTGATTCTCCAGGGCCATGTTTGCTCTCTCTCCACCGCTAGCAGGGAAATTTTGGTGGTAAAGTTTAGGAAGCCCCCCCAAAGGGGTCTTGCTGGGGGTCGGGAATAAAAAAGAAAGAAAAAGAAGTTCAAAGAGAGGCTCAGATGTCAACCTGGGTTAAAGAGGCAGGAAGCCAAATGAACTGTCAGTCATTTATGTATAAGGTACTAACTCTGTGCCAGGCCTGATTTTTTTTTTTTAATTATTCCTCTTTTGCAGATAAGGAAACTGCAGAACTTAAGTACTTTTTTGGTACTGGGTATTGAACCCAGGGGGATTCTATCACTGAGCCACATCTCCAGTTATTTTTATTTATTTTTTAATTTTGAGACAGGGTCTCCCTAAGGGCGGCCTCAAACTTGTAGTCCTCCTGTCTCAGCCTCCTGAGTCACTGGGATTACAGGCATGCGCCTCTGCACCCAGCTCCAAGTGGAACTTGAAGCCCCAGCTCAGCCGTGGTAGTAGATTTAGATTTCAGTGACGAGGCGCAGGAGGAACAAGGTGTGAGTGGGCAGTGACTTGGTCCCACCTGTCTGACTGTAAACTTCCAGGTTTGCTCATTGCTATGGCCCCCAAATCCTAGTCTAGAGCCTGACCTAAAGCAAGCATGGAATGCGGGAGTGAATGGAGTTATTTACGTGAAAATCAAGGACACAGTGCACATAGGATCAGCTGCCGTGTCAGGCACACACTGGGTTGGGAATGATCCAGGCACATTCATGTATAGGGACTCAGTTCATCTTCCCAGCCTCAAGAAGTAGGGCCATGAGTATCTCCATTTTTTAGATGGGGAAACTGAGGCAAAGAGAGGTTGAGTGACTTGCCCAAGGTCACACAACAGAGAAGAAGCTGAGGCAAGCTTTTCAGCAGGCACAGTAGCTCCAGAGATCATGTTATTATTTATGCCCAGTGCCTGGAACACAGTAGGTGCTCAATAAACAGTTGTTGATTTTTGTAGTTGAGCAAAAAGAGCCCTAGAGAGTGTTGAATCCTCCATTTTCCGCCATTTTATAAGTGGAAAAAAGCCCTGAGACTCTTGGGGTTCCTGGGGGAGGTTGGTGGAGGGGTCTTGGTTTAGACCCCAAGCTCTGGGATCCCCCTCTGGGCTCTGCAGTTCCTCTGAACCTAATCTACCTGCCATGTCTCATGATAGCCCTGTGCGGACAGAGTTGCTGGCGACACACACGCTTCCCTAACAATCCCCTTGGGGGATAAAATAATGATCTTCTCTTGTTCTTGGGAAACTGTCACATCAGCACAACACTGGTTCTGAGGCTCTGGCTGGGTCGGAGCCAGGAGGGGGCCGACCAGTTACAGAAACGTGCCTCGAAGCAAAACAAATCCCTGGGTTTGCCAGTTGGGAACATCTGTCCACCCAGAGCCCAGAGAGAGGCCACAGCCACCCTGTGGTGGCTTTCTCCCTGGCCTGTCATTGTTGTGGCTTCCCAGAGACTCGGCCAGACGTTCTCACATCCTCACTTTGTAGAAGGGTACACAGTGGGGAAGGGACCTGAGCAGGGATTTACAGGGTCCCCGACTGTGGAATATGTTAGGAATTTATTGAGAAGTAACATTGTGGTCCTTTTGACTCAGTCTCCTTCCAACCACCCCAGGAAGTTGATACGATTATCATTTCGCCATCTCCCAGCTGAGGAAACCAAGTTACAGGGTCTTGGTGACATTTCCCAAGGCCACGTAGGATTCAAACCTAGGAGGACCCCTGTCTTGTTTATCACCCTCTCTTAGCCTTCCTTGTCCCCCCCCTCAATAAACATCCCGCCATTGCAGCTCCCCTAAGTCATGGGTTCCCTTTCCAGGGTTTCATTCATGTGCGGTCTGGAAATATCACATAGAAAATTCCAGAAAAAAAAGCAACCCGATTTATAGGTTTTAAAGAACTTTTATCAGCATAGATTGTTATGACTCTTCTATTTTTATTGTTCTATATTAGAAATAGAATATATTTTTAAAATATATTTGTTAATGTCTCATTAACAAATTAAACCTTATCATAAGTTGTGTATTGGTAGGAAAAAGTGGTCCACAGAGGATTTGGTACTATCTGCAGCTCCGGCATCCACCAGAGGGTCTTGGAAAGTGTCGCCTGTGGATACCTGGGGACTAGAGTGCTGTGCAAACCTTGGAAGGTGGTCACTGGTGAGAAGGTAGGTCCCCTCCTCCCCAAGCCCTGCCTGGTCCTTTGATTCTCTGTCGCATGCCATCAAGGGGCACTGATGTGTCTTGAGAGGGGTGGGGTTTACAATAAGCATGTTTCAAAGGTCCAAAGTTGGCACGGAGCATGCCCAGGGGGACAGAGAGGTGCGGCCCTGGCAGGTACACCCAAGCTGCTCCGGTTCCCCACTTCCAGCTGCAGGTTCGGCATCTTTGGTTTTAATGAAATTCTTCGCGTGCTCTGCTTTAGCACAACGAATTGCACATTTTTTATTTTATTTTATTTTTGGCTCTTTCCTGGAGGGGACCCTGGGTAGCATGGCTCTGTCCACCTGGCTTCAGGTTGGGGGTCTGTGGCCATCTCAGGGCTGGGGCAAGTCACTCACCTGCAGACACAAAGAAGATGCCAGCACTCAGGATGACATTGTGCCGGCTGCGGTGGAACTCGCTGGCCGCCACGCAGAGCCCCCCGAAGAACAGCAGGGTGACGCTGAGGATGGGGAAGACGCTGGAGGCCCTCACAGCCCCTGCGGAGAGGAAGAGAGAGGCCGCGTCCTGCACACCGGCCGCCCCGGGTCCCCCTGCCACGGGCATGGGGGCCCCTGAGGGGAAGACGGGGCAGAAGTTGCAGAGCAAGGCCACATGTGATGTGGGCCCAGGTTAGTGCCGTCTGCTCGGGGACCCGAGCTGGGAAGGGGTTGGCACTCTGCAGTCACCGTCCTGAGAGTCTTAACAACCTTTGTCTCTGAATCCGTGTGGTGGAAGCCAAGTCCAAGGGCACAGAGGGCTCTGCGCTGTGAGCTGTGAGCTTTGGTTCACAACTTCTCTACTGTCCACCTCCCCAACTCCCTGGGCCGGGTTTTCTGTCCTCTCCTGCCTCTGCTCGGTGACCACTATCATCCTTTGACCCTGCTATGGGCCTGTGCATATAAACACAGGGAGAATCAGGGGCAGGTGTAAGCCCCAGGCCCCTGGGAGGGTTAGCACTCACTCTAACAGTGTCCCCAGGCCCAGGGGAGTGTGACATTAAACAACCAATAGAAAATGCTATGACAGGTCAGAAGAGAGATGGCAGAAGACAGTAAATGATTTTTTCACCCCCTGCATTTTGAACGAGGAGCCCAAGATCTTTATTTTGTATTGGGATCTGCAGATAATGCACCCAGCCTTGGATGCGGGGACTCCTATCAGAACGTTCGATGCTCATCACATGCAGAATCTTCCCCAGCACACACCTGCAGAGCCTGCTCATATCCATTGAAAACCCATTCAGTCACTGAATGAGCAAATGAATTTATTCACTCAACACGTATTTTTTGAGCACCTACTAGATTCCAGGTGCTGTGCTGGCTGCAGGGAGAATGTTTAACAACCACAGAGGCACGGGCACTTTATTTTATGTTTTGAAGGTGAAGCTGACAGAATTTGCTGATGGAGCAGTTGTGGACGGGAGAGGAAAAGTTCTGTCAGCCCTGAGCAATGGTGGCATCTGTGTTGACAAAGGAGCAGCCCGAGGGTGGGGCAGGGAGGGACGCAGCTCTTTTGGGCCATGGAGGACTCACAGCTGTTTGCGTTACTCAGTGTTCGAGGCTAGACCACAGTGAAGTGTCCTAGGCTAGACCACAGTGGAAGTGGTCTAGCTCCGGGTACTTCCATTCACCACCCAAGAGATGCTCAAGACCCCAGGGACAAGAGCTCTCTCCACAGTGTCATGATTGTGTTTAAATAAATTAAAGAAATGCTTGCTTGCTTGTTTGTTTTTTACCTTCAGATTTCTGGAATTATCTGAAGGGGACAGTGGAGGAACCCTGGGGTCAGGAGCTGAGCTCACAGGGGTAGAGAGAAGACAGAATGCTTCTAGCATTTGATTCAATCTGGCTGCCCCACGTGACCCAACGCAAGGGTCTGGGCTGTCCAGGGCCCCAGATAACTCTGCCCCTCTTGATCCTTAGCTGTGATGGTGACATTTTGGGAGCAGTTTCAAACTTCCTAGAAACCTGCTAGAGGAAGACGGGCACGGAGGAGAGGATCCTGCCACCCTGTCACCCTGGGGACATGAAGGGATCAGTCCCTTTGTGGGCTTCTCGCCTGCGCTGGCTGTTCTGAAGATCTTTGCTCACACACTGGCTCGGGTTGGGGCTCAGAGAATGGTAACGTGGAAATACAACGATTTTTGGGTTTTTTTTCCCTGCATGCTGATTAATTTGATCTAAAGGAAATGAAGAGGCTTTCAAAGAGCAACTTCAGAATTAAAGGTCCCTCTGACCTTGTCTCCTCCCCATCCCAGCCCCACGCACACCCTCGTCCTTCCCTCAAGCACAGGGAGAGGTTTTCTGCACATTTCCCTTATCTGCCTGAGGTCCAGACCCACTAAAGAAGAAGCCGTTACCTTGGGTTCCTTCCTGGGTTTTCACTCGCTAAACTCATTTCACAGGAAAAAAGACTTTGAGTCTGTCAACACCCCTGGACGGACTTTGGTCACACACCCTTGCCTCTATTTTAGTCCCAGAGGGAATCATTTACAACCCAGCCTGTCCTTCCAGCCAGACCCCGCCCCAGGTCACCGTGTGCTCTCCAGGCTCATGGAGTCCCCTGAAAAATCATTTACCTCATTTACGGGGCCCCCCACCCCCAGCCAAAGGGGTATAGAAAGAAGCTTCTCCATCACGTTGCACAGGGTCTAAGCACATTCCTGTGGGTTTGCAACACGTTGTGATGTTTTTTTGCTTGTTAATAAATTTGCAGATTATTTCTCCCATTTCTTATGTCTATGACATATTATGTCAGTGTTGTGGTTTGGACATAAGGAGTCCCCGCCCCAAAGCTCCTATGTCCTTTCGGGAACGTTCAGAGATGAAATGATTGGGTTAGGAGAGCTGTCACTGAGTCTGTGGATGGATCCATCGATGGTTGGTGATTTAGACAGTCACTGGGTGGTAACCGTAGGCAAGTGGGGTGTGGTGGCTGGAGGGAGCAGGTCACTGGGAGCCTGCCGTTGGGGGTATCCTGTTCCCTGGGACCTTGTGCTCTCTGTTCCTGGCTGCCATGAGCAGTGCTCCTCTGGATGCCCCTCCGCCATGATGTTCTGCCTCACCTTGGGCTCAGAGCAATGGAGTGAGCGGACCATGCACCTCTGAAACCATGCACCTCTGAAACCATGATCCAAAATGAACTCTTCCTTTGCTAAGTTATTCTTATCAGGTATTGTGGTCACAGCAACAAGAAATTGACTGATGCAATCAGCTTATTTCCATGGACCTTCAGGGGGCAGAGGGCCGATTTCCCTTCACCCTAACCCTACAGGAGGCAGGCTCACCTTGGTGTTCGTTAGCCCCCAGGTAAGCGGTGTCATCTCAGGGCGTGGGCTCTGCGGACCTGAGTGTGGCTATAACTGATCTCTTATGAGCCCAAATGTGGGAGAGCAGCTCAATGATAATTTCTAAAAATTCACATATCTGGCCTGCGGGTTTCCACTTGGACTCTTGGCCTGGAACCCCCCAAATTATTAAGGGGGTGGGATCCACCCCCTCCAGTGGCTTCAAGCGCCCATTTGGAACTTGCGAACTGACGTTGAAAGTGAACATTTGCTTTGCGTATTGCCAGGAATCACTTGAATATTCAAAGGGATGAGTTTACTTGGTGAGAGAGAGAGAGAATCCTTTACAATTTTTTTTTTCCAAAAAATGATTAACCTTTGAAATGTGCCCAAAGGAAAAGATCTGAACATTTCAAGCGATTGACTCACGTTGGTTGTGACAGTGTATATTTGCAACGTGTGAATATGTGACATGTAAACGTGGCAGTTTTCAAAGTGGCAAAGTAACCATTAAGTAACTTTTAATGAACAAGACATGAACAGATTCTGTCATCTCTGGCTACAGGTGTCTGTAAGGCAGGATTTTTTTTTTTTAATCTGCTGACATTTTCTCTGAGTAGGTTGGAGTCCACCCTGTACGGTTTAGCCCAGGGGGGTCACATGGTGGCTTCAGAAAAAAATATATATATATTGTCTTTTTCCCTGTTTCTCCTTCTCAAGGTCTCTGACCTGGTTTGGATCTGGAATGTTCCCTGAAAGTTCACATGTTGAAAGCTTGGTCCCCAGTGCAGCCAGGGCAGAGGTGCTCTGGACTTCTGGGCACTGACTGGACCCTGAGGGCTCTGACCCCATCAGTGGGTGGATGGATTAATCCATTTTCAGCTGAATGGGAGGTGGGGGGAGGGGGGAGTTGCAGGAAGTAGGTCACTGAGAGCCTGCTTTGGAGGGGTTTGTCCTCTCCCGGCCCCTTCTCTCTCTCCCCCACCCCTCCCCGGGGTGCCGTGAGCTGAGCAGCCCTCCCCCACCAGGACCTTCCAACACTACTTCTGCCTTGGAACCAGCTGACCATGGACTGAGTGTCCTGAAACCATGAACCGGAATAAATCTCCCATCCCTTAAGTCAGGTGTTTTGGTCACAGTGATAGAAAGCTGATCACCGCACTGGCTGGAGCTAAGGGAGCGCCTCAGGGTGGGGAGGTAAGCTTGATCCAGGGTCCTTCCACCATCCGAGTCTGAGTAGGACTTTGCCGAGTCCACGCTATGTTATGGGGAGTCTCCAGACGTCTTTGAAACCTCCCTCTAGGGTGCTCTCCCCCAAAATTTATGTACCGGAAACAGAATCCCCAAATCTGCATGTTAATGCTATTTGAAGGTGGGACCTTAAGGAGTAATTAGGATTAGAGGAAGTCATGAGGGTGGGTCCCCCATGACGGCCCTGGTGACCTTAGGAGATGTGATAGTCTCCTCCATGTCATGCAGACAGGAGGCCCTCACCAGAGGCTGAGCAGAACTGTGAGCCAAATAAACCTTTATTCTTTATAGATTACCTAGCCTCAGGCATTTTGTTATACCAGTGTAGAGCAGACTGAGACATACGGGTTTAAGCTGCAGCCTACCCCAAAGGGCACATAAAAAAGGGAATAGAACAAAAACATCATGTGCAGAGGTCCGATCCCATCAGGACTGTGGGTCCCAACAGAATTAGCAGCCTATACTCTTGGATGGGCAAGGAGATCCCTGCAGGAACAAGACTCTGGCCTTCCGTGGCTGAGTCGGGGATTCCAATATTCCTGACCTGTGGGCTCTTTTAAGGGTCCTCCTCCAACTTAGCCAGATGGTGTGGAGATTGGTGAAGCTTACGTGAACCGTGAGGTAGGCTGAGGGGAGATAAAGGAACAGAGGACTCCACCTTCCCAGAGGGGAGAAAAGCATTTTGATGGAAAAGTAATTGACCTCTCCAAAGAACTTAAAAATCAATTTTCCGAGTTGTGCAATAGCAGTCACGGTTCTGTTGAGCCTCCAACAGAGCAAACATCAAAATGTTTCGTCCAAGTCGGAAAGAAAAATAAGGATCAGCTGTGGGCGCGCTGGTGAAATCCCTCTGGTCATGACGTCCAAGCTATTCTCTTTTGAGGAGGTCCAAGTTCTACCCTCTGGAGATTTTTTGAAAGCATGTATTTGAGTTGAAGAAAATGCCTGAGATTTTTCTCCTAATGTCATACCCTAAGCTTTGGATAAGCTTGCAGCTCCAAATGTGGTTTTGACTTTGCACACCAAATCTCTTTGAGCTGCTGATATGAGGGGTTTGAAGAAAGATGAACAGTGTGTTCCGTCTGCAAAGTGGGCCTAGGCACGACGATTCTTTTCACATTAGCCCTTCCACAATAACTTTTTCCTGTTACGTTATTAAAGGTTCATACGTAGACTCACGGCCATATGCATCTAGAATCACGTCATGACTAAAGACGAAAATGATTTTAATTTAAAAATTCTCCTTCCTTCCTTGCTCTCTGGTGCCGGGGCTAGAACCCTGGGCCTCCTGCCTGCTAAGCGCGTGCTCCACTTCTGGGCTACATCCCCAGCCCCCAAACACTTGAGGTAGGAGCTAACACACAGAAGCTGAATAGGAAAATTTCTTGGAGTTTTAATTTATAATCACCGTTTTTTAAAAAAATCACCCGAAGTCTAACACTTCTGAAGAGCAAATTAGTCAACGCCGGTGAAATTTTCCTTTTGAGTGATCTGAAAACAGGTTCTTGAAGAAATGACATGTAAACCCCAAACCAAGTTCCCTCTGGGCCGGAACCAGTTTGACTTCTATTCTTCTCTTGAGCATAAACTTGACTAAACTCATTGTGTGTGTTTGATGATCGTTGTGGGTGTTTGTTAACTATCCAATTAACCAATCTCTAGGGCAGTTAATGGCTCTGTCAATTCTTATAAATGACAAGCCATACCTCGGTTCTGCGGCTGAACTGTGCCAATATAATCCCCTGCAACAAACCAGAGCTAACACACACACACACACACACACACACACACACACACGGCCTCACGGTTACATGCTGGGCCCGGGGCTAAGCGTACTGTGCATTATTAGCTTAGTTAATTTTTATGACCCTGTCAGACAGAGGACATGACAATCTCCATTTCGGAAAAGATGAAGGACGGTTAAGAGGTGAGACAACTTGCCCCAGGTTGAACCTCGCTGGGAGGGAGTCAAACCAGGGTCACAGCCCAGATCTGTCAGATTCCAGAGCCCTTGCTTGAAGTCACCACACTCCACTGGCTCCTATGTGCTTTAGTTGTGACAGTCTATGTCAGATCCATGGTACTGACCTTGGAAAAATCCTATGGCGACATTGGCCCTGTCCCAGTAGGATTGAAACTGAAGGGAAGTCAAAGGAAAGTGAACTTTGGTTTGTGTTTATCCTCCTCGGACTTACCCCTGGGGACCTCGCCCATTAGCACCTCACCCATTAGCACCTCGCCCATTAGCACCTCCAATCAACCCTCTGGGGAAGGGGAAAACTTGAATTCAAGTTGAAGAAAATTTCTTAGATTTTTATCCTAAGTAGACTAAAAAGGACCTTTCCATTTTAGCCAACCCACTCTCCCACCCCTGTTTCTAGTTCATTAAAAATGGAAGAGACTTAGGTCTCAGACTTAAGAGACTCAGGTCTCAGAACCCTGTCTATAGCTCTGTCTAGTGGCGCCTGGAACTGCTCCTTTGCACATAGATGTGGACATGGAGGGACCTCAAACTCAGAAGCAGCTGGTGGAGGGCAGGGGACCCTGCCATCCCACCCCCGGTTCCCCCAAGAGAAAGCCAGGAAGAGGAGAGACTTACGTAGGAGGTACTCCGCTGTATCCTGTTCGTAGTCTGCATCTTCAGGGAAGTGGTCGATTTTCTTGCACACTCCTCGGAAAGCCCCTGCGGAAACAAGCGTGGTCCTGAGAACCCAATGGGTTCAGCCTGAGTCCTTGACCTCACGGGACCATTCTTTCCCCTGGTTGTCGGGAAGCTGGGCCCAGGGAGGCTCAATCGCATCTTTATACAGGGCACAAAAAAAGAGACGAGCTGCTCTGACTTGGATCTTGAATGTCCCCCAAAGGTCTATGGGTCCCCAGCCAGTGACATAGTGGGAGGTGGTGGAACCTTTAGGAGGTGGAGCATGCTGGCAGGAAGTGAGGTCATTGGGAGAATGCCCTTGAAGGGATTATTGGGATCCCGGGCCCTTTCCTCTGTCTGCTCCCTGGAAACCCTGAGGTGGGCAGCTTTGGGGTATCACCTGCCCCCCCATGTTGTTCTGCTTTGCCACAGGCCAAAAAAAATAATGGAGCCAACCAACCAACCAACCAACCAACCATGGACAGACACCTCTGAAACAGTGAGCCCAAATAAACTCTTCCTGTTTTAAAAGGTGATTTATCTCAGGGATTTTGTCACAGTGACCTAAAGCGAGCACTCCACTAGAGGCAAGCCATTCATTAAATAAAAAAGGAAAAGACTCAAATATTCGATTTCTTCCATGTTGCACGACGTTGGCATCCACCTTGGAAGAGCAAAAAGAAGTAGGAATGCGAAAGCAGGTCTCAGGACACTGTCGGGTCTGACCTCTCCCACAAGTGAAAGGAAAAAGAGGTGGGGATTATGTTTAGTAATTTATCTTCCCATTTTATAGATGAGGAAATCAGGCTTGAAGAATTTTGCTTGAGGGCTGGGGTTGTGGCGTGGTGGTAGAGCGCTTGCCTACCATGCGCGAGGTGCTGGGTGCGATTCTCAGCACTGCATATAAATCAGTGAATAAAATAAAGGTCCATCAACAACTAAAATTATATATATATACACACACACACACATGACTTTAAAAAGTTAGTCCTATTAGTCTTTAACAAAAAAGTAAATGAATAAAATAAAAGAATTTTGCTTGAAGTCACTCAGGTAAATAAATGGTCCAGCCAGGTTCCCAATCAAGATCTGAATCCAGACATGGTGGAACATTCTGCTTTCTCAGACAATGACTCTCCTGTTCCCTGTCCCTGCTCTACAGGGTCACAGTTCCCTGTCCCTTGCTGGGTGGCCCACCCCTTCAGGAACCACAGAATTGGCGAGGAGACATCTCAAAGAAACCGTCAGCCTTTGACTTCCTCTCCTTTCTTCAGCATAGATTGGACTTAACTCATTGTGTGTGTGTGTGTGTTTGAGAATCATGGCGGGTGTTTATTAACTAGCCAATTAGCCATTCTCTGGGGCAGTTAATGGCTCTGTCAGTTCTTATAAATGACAAACAATATTCAGGATGTCTCATCTGGCCGCCACACAGCATGGAATTATGCATTCCTGTCCTCTTCCCTGTCTGCAAAGACAGTAGGGAGGTGAGAAAGAGGGTTGTTGTTGTTGGTGGGAGAATCAGATAGAGCTGAGCTTGTGCTTCAGAGCAGTCATTGCATATTAAAAAAAAAAAAAAGCCACACTCACGAACAGGAGACAATTTTTTCTGCAAAGCTTTAGGCACATCATGATAACAGCTGCCAGTTATAAAGTCCTTCCAAGGAGCCAGGCACGTTGGTGAAAACTTACAGTCTTATCTCACTGACTCTCGCCCCCTGCACCCCAGGAGGTAAGGTCGATTAATAGTGACATTTATGACGAGGCAGGAGAGCCACAGAGGGGAATGGAGGTGTCCCAGTCAGTGAGTGGCAGAATTGGTATTCGAATCCAGGCTCCAAAGCCTGTGATTTCATCATTACTCTATGAATAACCATTACTCTCATGTCTACTATGATTATGTCTATTATTATCTTATAATGATAACAGTACTATCTATTTAACCTCTATCATAAGTAGGCTCCCCAGGGACATTTCACGACAATTGCAATGAGCTATGTAGAACATCTCTTTGGTTCTGATCCCCAGCTCGCCGGGCAAAGAATAGACTTTGAACTAAGGAAAGGATTCAGGAGAGAAGTCTCCAGGAAGTTTCTTGGAAGAAAAGACAAACCTGTATCGTCTTCCCTGATATTGAAAAAAAAAAGGCCTTTCGTTTTTTTCTTGTTCAGATTTCAGAGTTTCCTTTATGTATTTTGCCTGGATAATAAATCCTCATAAGTAACTTATAGGTTCTCCTTTTACCATGTGCCCCAGGACCAGTCTACGCATTTGATAGGTGAGGAAACCGAGAGGCTTAACAAGGCTGTGGTTAGTAACTGCGTCACTCAAGGGCAGGCAGGTCTGGCTGACTCCAAGGTCAAGGTTCCTAAGCACTATTGTGACTTGCTCTCCCTTCAGTGGCTTTGGAGTTGCAAGCAAGTCCCCGGATAGGTGGCTTAGTGGTCATTCTGTGGTCTGTTCCCCGCTATTGATGTGGCATTGAACGGCACCAGTCATCTTCCCATCAACTTATACTTTTTCTATAATGTATTCCAAGGAACAATGGGCAGGTTAGCAGTTTCACCTGTTCCACAAAAGATTTCCTGGGGAAGAGAAGGTCCTGGTGAAAAATGGAATGTGGACCCTCCTCCAACAGCCCAGTCGGAATCGCTGTGGGAATTAGGAGCTACGCCCTTGCCTGCATCTGCTTGTGAAATGGCCTTACTCGAGATGACTCCAGGTGGCTTGAAACTGGGACTCAGAACCAGTGGCTTTTGAAGTCACAGGCACCAGTGTGCTTTCCATGGTTCGAAGTGGCCTCCCACCTGTTTCTGTTCAGCCCATGAGCAAAGAATGGTGTTAGTGTACTTAGATGATTGGAAAAAAAAAATCAAAAGAAGAATATTATTTCATGACATATGAAAAACGTGAAATTCAAATTCGGGTGTCGATAAATTTTATTGACACCGCTGTACCCACTTACTGACATAGTTTTGATGGCGGCTTTCATGCTCCTGTGGCGGAGTGAGGTGTGGCAGAGACAGCCAAGCTGAAAATAGTTACCCTCTGGCCCTTTTGGAAACATCTTGCTGAACCCTGGTCTGATGATTTCTGTGTTGTGAAGTCACAAGTGAAAAGTGAAGAGGGGTTGGTCCCTTTCTGAGATGGAGGCAATAATCCAGCCTGGTCCCTCCAAAGCAAATAGTGGTGAGTTTTTAGAAAAATCTAGTTGCAGACTGGTTTGGTGATTTTTTTTTGTTTGCTAAATAAATAGTTCTGTGCTTTTCTTACCTGCAAAATTTTATTGCATGTTTTGATGCATTTTTTTCAAAGAATTACACGTGTCAATACAATTTAAAAATTCAAGGTATCTCATTCCAAAGCCTGATTGGCAGTTTCTCTTTAAAAAAAATGAGGTGCTCCGTCCGTCCCACATTTGCATGGGACAACACCCTTTGTAGCTGGACATCAGCAGCCCTCTTAAGCCTGGGCATGAACTCTCCAATTGGCCAAAGTCCCCAACTTAGGATGCTTCCCTGTCCCTGTAGATATTTCAGCTTATAACCCCAGAGTCAAAATGTGGTGAGAACCCAGTCTTCGGAGTCACCCTTTAGAGAGAATCCTGACTCAGCAGCCACTTACTCCTTGTGGTTGCCTGCCCCAGATTACCTCTCCAAAACCTCAGCTTCATCTTCTACCAAAGGGAGATAATAATAGTCACTTCTGGGAGTTGTCACCAGAATTAATGGCGGCAGTAATAGTAGTTACGGTGGCAGTCGCTGTTCTCGGTACTTTGCACATAAATCTTTTAATCAGGCAATGATGTAAAGGACTTTTTACAGTCCCCGGCACCTAGTAAGCACTCAATAAATTACAGCTATTACTATCGCCGGTTTGGGTAGGTATTTTAGGACCAGCAGAGACACATCGGCGACATGGTGAGATTTTAGAAAGCAATATAAAAGGAAAGGGAAACAGGAATTTCCTCAAGGAAGATTGCACACTGAAAACGGAGCTGCTGGCACCCCGAGCCACACACTCATTATAAAGTGAACTTGGCCATTCCTGTGGTAGCATATTGCTAGCTCCCAGAAATAACCACTGCTTTGCATTTATATATATATATATATATATATATATATATATATATATATATATATTTCCTTTCAGGCTCCCCCCCCCCTCGTCTTTCTTGTGCTTTCACACAAAAATGACTTAACAAGATTGAGATCATGCTGTTCTTCTCACATTTTCTTAGGAGTATTTCCCCATATCAGTCAATCCAAGGAAATAGAAGGGGGCTGGATTTCCCACCAATCGCACAGAAAGAAATCAAGAGAGAGGTTGAAAACCTTTAAAAGGTAAGGAGCAAGTCAGAACACAGAGATCAACACCGCTAAGGCCCTGGGGCAGAGAGAAGCAAACCAGGAAGAGGACCGAAGGAGTGTGGTCTGGAGACAGAACCCGGGGGCTACAGGGGAGAGGTGATGGAGAACCATCCCTGGGCAGGCGTGAGAACTGGGCATGAGAACCAATGGATTGCAGAACCTTGGGAAGAGTTTGAGAATGGGAGACAGAACCAGAAGAAATTTCCTGAGCTGTTGAGGGATAATCACAGAGCCTGGATTTATGGGTCTAGAGTCTCTCTCTGCAATGAGAATGTGAGCTCTGAGGACCAGAATCTTCTGTCCTGGCCACCCGTGAATCCCTAGGACTCTGGCTCCATCCTAGATAGAAAAGACGATATCAGCAGTTCATCTCCAGATCCCACAGTGGAAGAAAACACCCGTCACATGAATAAAGATGCACCCTTGAGCGAACACTCCTTAAAGCCAACCTTGGAGATATTATTAAAATCAAGAATTAGATAATCCACATCATCGCCTCTATTATTTACTAGATAGTCGTACAAGTTCTAGTTAGCATAAGAATTGTGTTAGAAGCAATAATTTTTAAAAAATGGAAGAAGAGGACCATTTTTTTTTCCAGGTCATAAGAATTCGTCTATTTGGGAAGCTGAAAGCAATTTGGTAGGAAAAAAAATATATCAGAATGAATGA